CTGCTGCAGTCTGTGCCAGCTGGCCATCATTCTTGTTGGCATCGATTATTGTGATGTCATCACACCGCTGCTGACCTGTGAGGACCCTGCCGATAGACAGCCAATGGCAAGTGCTCACATTAGGCAGCAACATGGTCGCCTGAAGGACCCCCAAACCTCACAGGTCAGAAAGCAGAAGACTTGGGATACGGTGTGTCACAGGAATACAAATTCAGGTTAACTATTTGGGCCATTTAAGTTTTTTTTTATTCTAAATGGTGGATTAACTGCGGGAGTGGGTGGTAATAAGCCTGGAGATCAGATTTTAAAATCTCCCCCAAGTAGCTTATTTTCCTCGTCTACAGAATCCATAATATGAAGACAATATGGATACGCAAATGGAGGTGAATCACATTGCAAGCTACAAATGTCAAGATATGCACATAGGCCAACCTCTGCGTGTCAACTTTAAACCAGATGGACTGTATATACACAATGTGGCCACTTTATTAGGTACACCCGTTCATTAACGCAAATATCCAAACAGCAAGCCACGTGGCTGCAGATCCATACAGAAAGTGCAGACACAGTCAAACAATGTAGTCATTTTTTAGCCAAACTTTTTAAAGGGTTATTCAAGTCTTATCATGGAGTAAGTTAATGGTTGTTGAAGCATATTTGAAGCTGCTGGTCCCCCTGGGATTTGCTCTGAGCTCTTCAGAGTTTACATAGATAATGGTGCAAAAAACAAAAACTGTGAGCAGCAATTTCCTTTAAACAATGCCTTGTAATTGTGAGAGGTCAGAGGAAACTGGCAATACTTTCTGAAGCTCACAGGAACCATACATCTGCTCATATAAAATAAGTAACAGTGGTATACCATGAAGCTTGGAATTCACAACAGGTTCAAGAGGTTTAGTACAATGACAGAGGACCGTACTCTTCGCAGCTAAGAACAGGGAAACCTACAGAGGGCATAGGATCCCAACAATGGGACGTATAAAGACTGGAACTCTAGTCTGATGAATCTCTACATGCAGATAGCAAAGTCAGAATCTGAGAGATGCAACAGGAGATCCACAGCCTGAATTTATGGCCGACAAAACTGCGGGATTTGGGTATTCAAATTTAGCCAGCATGGACTGTAAGCAAAATCTCAGGCACCTTACCAAATCTATGCTGCAAAAAAATGTACCTTCTGAAGGCAAAAGGGGCCTGACCCAATGGTAGAGAGGTGTACCTAATAAACGGGCCACCAGATATAAAGCATCTCACAAGTTGGCCATTACAATTGTTTCCCAGGTATCTAAGAATCACATAAATATTGGAAGGAACAAAATAGAACGTGCTGATATAAAAACTTTATTTATATTTACAACATTTTAACAGAACACTAAGGCATTTCAAGGAGTCCAAGATGGCTCAATCAGTCACAGTTCACCACATGTTCTCCTTCGGCGCTTGTCTGAAGGAGCCCATGAAAGTACAGAACACAGTGTGGGAATGATCAGTCAGCCCAGGCCCATAGCGTAGAGAGGGAAGTTCACGTTTACAAGGAAAAACTGAAAGAAAAGGGATATTTTAACTTTTTAACTGTCATCTTCAGACATCAGAGGCAGCCATTTTGTAGGCTCAGCCAATATTGCCGTAATTGCAGCATATATTAGGCTATGTACAATATGCCTGCCCCAATGTCTTCAGCTTACTAGCACTTAAAACCAATATTCAAGAAATGTTACTGAACCTGCTGCTTGTTATCAGCAAACTTGTAAAACAAAATAGGCTTTATGTTAAATCGCTGTACTTTAAATGCTTTGATCCTAACATTCCTCTTAATTATCCTCAAACCAAATTAATTAAAGGGATGATTTGAGCATATCATTTAAATCTGTTTAGCTAAATGAAATAAAATGCTCAGAGGTCTGCTTGACATGGCCGGTTGAACAGCTAATCACAGTCATGCTGAGTGTACCATTAACAATGAAGCCTTGCCTGTCTGTAGAAAGGCCACATTGTGGAGTAATTAGAAGGAAAATATACCATAGAACCCCTCACTGCAAAACAAGGAATCATACAAAAGAACACAATCTGTGTTGAAGCAGATGGCACTCCAGGCCATAATATAGTCAGACCCGGATTTCTTCTACGTCTTGAATACACTAACACCAAGATCTCTTTGCCATATATCCTCACTCTGGAATCCAGCCTGGGGGGGGAGTGAGAAACCTCATAAGGACCATATCACGTGTGCAGACCCAGGAGGACAAATAGAGATCACCAAGAGAGTCCCTGAGAGGGTGGACTGACCCTTCAATCTACTATTGTATGCAGAGACAGGAAGTCCATGGCACTAACTTTGCAAATGAACAAACTCCTCCAAAGACAGAGTTGCATCAATCCCCAGCAAACCTGACAAGATACAGCATGTCAGCGAGTCAAATTTCAGTGTGTCCATATGTCCACTATCCTGAAATGAGGAAAGATCCCCTCATTTTGGGGATTTGTGGATGGAATGAGACATGTGAATACCTTCTGCTTTAGTTTGGGATAAATGAGTCAGTAATAAAAGGCTTTAGCTATACTATACACCAGCGGTTCTGGATGTACAGTTGGCCACTGGGGCAAGGAGGAAAGAACACAAAACAGCTCCTCAGACTTCTCTGCTGAAAGATATACTTTAAACATAAACTTGTTCTTTGTCCATGCCGGGCAACATAACAGGTTTACTTTAATCAGCCTGCTCTAGCACTTACCTTCCTTATGCTCCCAATGCTTTGTTCAGCTGCTGGGAGCAAAAGGAAAGTCCTCTGAGGACTACATGTAGCTGAAGATTTAGCTTACACAGGACTATGCAGGGGGGGATGGGGGATGCGGGGGGTGCGGCCCACACCCGGGTGACACCATTGGAGGGGTGACACCAAAATGACCCACAGTCATTTTGGTGTCACCCCTCTCTGAAAAGTCGGGCGCTCGGTCCTGGACCGAATGCCTAACAGTATCAGGAGAGAGGAGGGGACCCGGCGGCATACCTTATCCCGCCGGGTGACTGTCCCCTCCTCTCTCTGCCGGCGTCCATCACCAAGATGGCCGCCGGCAGGTATCAGAATGCTGCCACGCGTGCGCGATGACGTCACGCGCATGCGCAGTGACGTCTCGTCGGTGCTTTAGTGCATAAGCTATGTAAACAGAGATGACTTATTCAATAAAGCATTGCAAACTGCAATCACTATATGCAAAGTGTTGTAGCTCATGGCCACCAGATTTCAGTTGTAGATGCATCAGTAAATGGCCTTCTTTGGGTTCTTATGTTTTGCACAGAGTCATTACCTTGTTTGACTATTCTTTTCCATCACTAGCAAATATAACACCAATAAAGAGACTACCTGAGGATGAAATTACAGTGACATTAATTTTTAGGCAGACGACCAAGCAAACCAGGTACGATCTGTCTGGTATTGCAAATTGTGCAATGCTGGTACAGACATTATATAGCTAATGGACAACCCTCAAATAATTTTACCTGTGTCCAATGAAACAAAACATGTTGAAACATACGATAAAAAGTAAAAGAAAAACAGTATAAATATTATATGCATGAAATTGGATTATGAAGTGTGTATTGAAACAGTATCCAACATGTACTTAAACAGAGCACACATGTCTGCAAAGGACAGTTGCTGCAAGCGTGAACACGTGTGTAAATTTTTAAGGGGCATTCAGCCCAGAAAGCAAGGAATCAGCCAATATGTGCCTCGGTTACTACTGATAGCAAGTGTTCATGGGACCTTGTGGCCAACTGTCATTTATTTTCAGGGGTATTGGAAGGCTGGCTTCCAGAATCTGTCTGGTGTTGGGGTACTAGTAACATAGTATTTGAGGTTGAATAAAGACATACGTCCATCAAGTCCAACCTATTGCGTTGCATGTGTATGGTTCTGCTGATGTGTGCGTATGTATAGGTCCCTGTGTCATCTCATTCTTAAGAGTACCTGTATGTTACGGTCCCTAAGGAAATCGTCCAATCACCTCTTGAACGATTCCACACTCTTCGCTGAAATCACGGCCTGTGGCAGCGAGTTCCAGACCCTAAACGCTCTGAGAAATACCCCCTTTATCCCTTGTCCTGAAATTTTTTCTCCACCAATTTTAGGTGGTGGTCTCTAGTCCTTGTCATGGAGTTAATTGTAAAGAGTTTGTTGCTAATGTTGCGATCACCATTGAACATTTTGTATATGAAAATCATGCCCCCCCTTAATCTCCTTACTTTTAGTAGCCTTGTCTCATAGCTCTGGTCCTCCATCCCCTTAATGAGTTTGGTTGCCCTCCGCTGGACTCGTTCCAGCTCGAGGACATCCTTTCTGTGGACTGGTGACCAAAACTGGACCGCATACTCCAGATGAGGCCAAACCAATGATGTGTAAAGTGGCACAATTATAGACCTGCCCCTGCAATACATTCCCTTCATAATACAGGACAGGACCCTACTTGCTGTGCTTACAGCAGCCTGGTACTGCAAGCTATTATTCAGTCTGTGGTCTACAATGACCCCCAAATCCTTTTCCATTTCTGACTTCCCTAGTGGCATACCCATAATTGTACAGCTCATTTGCCTATTTTTAATCCCAATGTGCATTACTTTGCATTTATCGACATTAAACCTCATCTGCCATATAGTTGCCCACACCCCTATGTTATACAGGTCCTCCTGTAATGTTATAATGTCCAAGTCCGTTTCTATTACCCTCACGATTTTGGTAACATCAGCAAACACTGAAACATGGCTATTCACACCCTCCCCGATATCGTTGATAAACCGGTTGAATAGCATGGGTCCCAGCACAGAACCCTGAGGCACACCGCTCAGGGTACTGTTACACACAAACCAATTAGGTATCTGCTTTAGCATGGGCATTCCAGGAAATGACAGGCAACACATAAGAGGAGTGCCGTGGCTAATTTACAGACAATTACATTCCGCTCTAATTTACGTGTACGTCTAATGCATTTTCCATAGTTTTTACCTTGTATCTCTCTATGGGGTCTTCTTGTTGCAACTGACTCTCCCTCATTGCCAGATATTCTTTCTCATACTTCTTTAACTTCTTTGTAGGCACCTGAAAAAAAAAACAATATTGTATTACATGTATTGTTACAAACTTGCCATTAGAGGGACTGTTAGTTTAAGTCACCTATAGAAGAGACGCAGTTGCCATTCTGCCCCCCAGATGGCGGCATCTACCGCCTGATAACAGGGAACTCCCGCTCTTCAACCATAGCAACCGAAAGGATAAAACTGTTGCAATAGCTTCGAAAGCTTTGTTATTATTCCTTTCACTACTATGTCTTTGCTGTAAGAAGCATACACCCTTATAACATGATTTCACTTAGATGCATCATCAAGGAATGTCTGCTGTAAAGCTTGTAAAAAGTGCACATTTCAAAGCAGAGGGCATAAAAGATTATAAAAGGAGCATAAAACATTTGCAAGCCATGTACACAACTATAAAATCCAACAGAGTGTATTTGTATTCCGAGTCACACCTATGTGTAAGGTAACATCTGCAGACCTCTCCACCTATATGATCTCCCAGTCCTGGAAGAGGCTTCAGTTTGACTTATTATTGCATATATCCTAAAGCGCTTTTTAATGTGGCGTTCACAATTTCCCATACACAACGAGAATTTCCCCAGAGTTTCATGACGATAATAAATGTACAATTACAAATATGCAATCAAAGGATAAGCCTCGCACACATTGTTTTGTGCTCAGGGAATCAATAAGAATCTGCGCTGACCACAAACCTGCACTGAGACAACACACAATCACAATACCAGAGGACCCATAGTGTATACAAGTACAAATAAACCAAAATAAAAGTATTTTTACAGCAGAAACACAAACTTTTATTTACATGAGCTGATCATATTCACATAGATACGATCACAGCACGCTGCCTGGAGGAATTTCACTTTAGATACATTCATGGATGTGGTTCTATCTGGAGTATATCTACAAAGTCCATTACACCCATGTGACTCACAGGCAATACATAATACCAAATTGCATGCATTGGTTGCAGACTATTGGGCACTATATTGTCTATGTATTGCAGACTATTGGGTATTGTATTGTCTATGCATTACGGACTATTGGACATTGCATTGTGCATTGGTTGCAGACTATTGGGCACTATATTGTCTATGTATTGCAGACTATTGGGCTTTGCGTTGTGCATTGGTTGCAGACTATTGGGCACTATATTGCAGACTATTGGGCTTTGTGTTGTGCATTGGTTGCAGGCTATTGGGCATTGGTTGCAGACTATTGATTGCAGACTATTGGTCACTATTTTCTATGTATTGCAGACTATTGGCCATTGCATTGTGCACTGGTTGCAGACTATTGGGCATCGCATTGTACATTGGTTGCAGACTATTGGGCATTGCATTGTACATTGGTTGCAGACTATTGGGCATTGCATTGTACATTGATTGCAGATTATTGGGCATTGCATTGTACATTAGTTGCAGACTACAGAATTACTAACTTCAGGGTACTTTTCCTGCAATATTTTATTATATTAAGGTAAACCTAAGAGGAACATGTGGGCTGCCATTATTGACCTCACCTTCCACAAATGTGATATTTGTCTGTCATGCAGACCCTCTGGCAATTCACTGATCAATAACAATAAAAGACAGCAAACTGTACATGTTAACCAGAATATATATGTTATATACTAAATGTGCAACCTTCATTAGGTTGACCCTCAGACTACATGGTTTCAATAAAACTGAAAGTCGCTTTGTACAAAATCTGTACAATCGGACTGTAACCTCTGTGCTTACTATAACCCTTCTATGACTTTACTGATGTATATGCTTGTTCCAAGTCAGTGTGTGAAAAAGTACTGATGCCAGAGACTACCAGGCAACTAGCATTCCTTCAGAAGGAGCTACTTAATGGCACTTTCTGTATTTCTCTCATGACAGGTGTACTTTAGCAATTATGATGAAGGCTTAAAACTTTTGTTCTGGTAACTTTTCAGCAGGCCACCTTGCAAACTACCTTGATGCAGGTGGCCACTTATCAGAGGTTTCAGGTCGGGTTACCCTAACCCAAGACAGATATAAGACTAGCCAAAGACATGACCTGTCCATTAAGCCCAATCTCTCTGTGGAAGAATAATGGCAGGGGGATTAATAATGGTTGTAGCTGATAATACATTCCAAATAATAGTATTTTTGAGATTGGTTGGCCAAGGTGTGACTGCAGGCAATTAAATGCCCAGTCATAAGACAATTTCCCAGCTGACCATTATATATTAGATTCGGTGATGATCTCATGTCCAAGGGTAGTGTTAGACCGCGATTAGCCATGACAACACACTTTAATAAAACATAATTAACATAATAGAACAGATTAGGGAGATAATATCTACAGCCAGGATCTGCTGTGAACAACATGGGCGTCATATGTCTATATAAATTGCCATTTACGTGTACATGGGTTTAAAGGTATTACATCCCATGTAAACTACACGTAGATATCGTGCCTACTCTACACACCAGTCAAATGTGAAACAATGACAGTATACAATGCATTGTCCCGGTAAGATTACCTCTTATGCCATACATAACCTATCAACATGTACCTGCAATTAAGTAACTCTAGAACATGTATCTGAAAATAAGTCATTACAAGCATTTGTTTCATTACTGTGCATCTGAGTGAAGATACCCATAAATAATGCTCAACGAATCCGGACATTTTCTGCCTGTTCACATTTCAATCTGAATGTGTAAGACTATGGATAAACACGTTAGAAAGTCTGCATGGTCGCTACTGTTTACTGACAACTGGTGCCAAAAGTTTTGTGTTCGCCTTCTTGCTCCCCTCTCCATTCAGAGCAACTTGTCAACTTGGCAAAGTTGTGCCAACCATGGGCTACTCTGCAAGGCTCTAAAGGCACCAGGACTTGTGATCACAATGTTTCTGCATGACCCCCCTCTAAAATGTATTATCAATATGGGCCTAATTATTTATAAAACTGACCAATGAAGGACTTGTCCCAGACAATTCTTGGCAGCCAATTCAAACCTACACTGAAAATGTTAGATATTGAAAGTTAGAATACGACTGGCTGCAGTATTATAAACAAGGCCCAGAGTGACTGTGGTTTTGTCAGGATGTACCTGCAGTTGGGGCACTGCCACCCTCTGTCAGTGTCTATCAGCAATTAACTTACTACATATATACCTCCCAAAAGGCCCTCATTTGGAACCAAATTCCTCTGTCCCTCTTTCCTCCTCACGTATCTCTCTTTTTGGTCTGATGAACAGACACCTCTGAAAAGGTCCTATTTAACTACCAAAAGTAATATTCTGCACTAAAACCTTCAACTTAGTTCTTGATGGTCTTGTTTGCCATTTGCAAAAGTCAATATAAAGAGAAAGTAATGGTGGGGAAAAAAAACCAATTCTGGGTTTAGCCATTTTTGGCATATACATTAATTTATGACCTGGGGGTGTGTCCACTGTCTAAATACATTGTACTAGAAGGTGTCCCTTCTTTCTCATCTCAGAAACATGGGAGGTATGCATATCGCAGCATGTAGTCCCATATAGATACTCTATAATAGAATGTAAAAGAACATTGAAGACGTCTGCTGACCTCTTAGAGTTCCAAATTTTGCTCCAAACGTTTTTCACCGCTGGTATGAAAGGATATTTGTTTCCACAATTCCTGAACTTTGGTCTTGTGAGTCTACACAATAGCACATTGTTAAACAACTAGCTAATCTACAGCTGAGATTTAATTAACCAAACTCAAGCTGAGCTGTCCATTTATAAAGGCAGAGAAAAGTCTTGTGACAACCTGCAAAGTCCTAGTTAATGAAAGGATAAAAATAATAACAGAAAAGGTAATCAGGCTAAAAACAGTCAGATAAACTGCACAGTAAAGAGATTAATAACCCGTGTCGGTGTTCCAAACATTAACCCCTTCATGACTGAGGCCCTTTTTTCAATTTTTGCACGCATTTTATATTCCACATTTTAGGCCTGAAAATGACGTAAAACCCCCCAACATTATATATTTTCTGAATGCCAAGACCCTATAGAATAAAATGGTGGTAGTTGAAGTCTGTAATCATGTAGCAAACAGCTGCTGTGACAGAGGAGGGGAGCCAGACAATGAGCTTGGCTCTTCCAGTTATGTTTCAGCTAGATCTAGAAGCATCACCCCATAAAAGTTGCAGCAAGAATAGTTGTGATGTTGGTCTGGCCCACAGCTTAATGTTTTACAGCAATCACAGGCAAAAAAGGGAGAAGCAAGTCAGCAAGAGGGCTGGCCTTTATTTGTTCAGAGGTGGGCTTAACAGGGTTGGGGGTTATCACTTTCCCATCTTTATAATTTAATTTAAAAAGCAATCTACCTATCTTCCCCGGTTTGGATTGTACCATGTTCTCCATCACTACATATTTGCCAAAATGTTCCAAAAAAATGGGTGGACATTTTGTAGGAGGAACCCAGGGATCCCAACCTGAAAAAAGGCACCCCCCTGAAATGATGGCAGATAGTACGGGAAGCAATAGCTTCTTTGCTATCTGCTGGGGTTTTTGTTTTAGTATTCTGACAGCTGCTGCCGTCAGAATAAAAAAAAAAACAGCATAGGAATGAATAGCTAGATTACTATTGGCTATTGCAAATGGAATTAGCCAATAGCAATCTATCTATTCATTCCTATGCGGTGTTCTTTTTTCACTCTGAAAGGTTTACTCTGCTAGATCAAGCAGAGTAAACCTTTCCGGGAGAAAATGTTTCTCTCCCGGGTATCCGGGAGCCGCTATCTAACAGCAGGAGACTCCCGGAGCGTCCGGGAGAGTTGGAATGTCTAGGAACCCAGCAGGTCCACCACTACAGGTACCACTACCATACTACAGATACCAGACCAGTCACTCTGCACAAGGAGAGAGAGCAGCAGTGACCAGTCTTTATTACAGGAAGGCAAACGTTCACACTGGATTACTGCACAGATCTGGAAGAATTACACAAAACACACCAAGACAAGACATGCCATCGGTATTTAGACAATATGTGCTGATCCCAGAG